AGGATAGAGCCAGCATACTCGTTTGGAATTGCTCTTAGTCTTTATACTAAGCTAGGTTAACTACATGCTGACTCCAGATCTGTACTGAACACACAGAAATGTGACTGATACTTGTGTTTTGCCTCAGTTCTGCTTTTTCTAATGGCTCATGTGATCACAAGCTGATCCAGTGACAGCTTACAGACTAAAATTACAAGGAAAATACAAGGAAACAAGCACATGGCTCTCATGTAAATGCTTGGCTTCATTTAATCAGACTGATGTTTCCCCAGCAGCCAAAGACAAACTACAAAATGATCAGCAGTGGATTCACCTCTCCACTTATTACCTCAATTTGTCAGTAACTGACAACCCACACCACATATTTATTTTCCTCTTTGTGTTTTAAATAGTTATGAAATGTATGAGAGAATTAAGTATTTGAATATTTTTTTATCTTTTTGATGTGTTTATATGTAAAAGGGAGTTGCTTAATAAATGCGTAAAAGGGTGGTAAATGTATATTGTAACTGGTGAACAAGACAAGTGGAGAGCCATGTAGTGCAGTAAGTTTAAAGCTCCCTGCAGATGAAAGATGCATTCCTACTCTGCATGTTGCTGTGTTCCTCAGACAGATTCCCAGCTGGGACCTGCTCTAATCTCCTGGCAACAATATTGACATAGAAATAGAAACTCTGGAGAGGACAGGACTAGCTCTCTGCCTGTGAGGATTGCCTGCAAATATATCTGCTATAGTTAATATTAATCACAAAGTTGTGCATTATTGCATTAAAGACAGACAGACAGACAGAAAGTTAGATGTTCTTTCTTCCCACCATTCTGGTACAAGTAAATCATTTGCCAGAAAACATCTAAAAGAGTCTGCTTGTTTCCAGACATAAAAGTCTTATGCCTACTCTGGCAAACCAGTGGTTTAAAATTGTTATAAACCCTCTGTATTTCCATTCCTGACGTTGTGAAACAGAGTTGATATTGTTCCTGAGTTGGCTAAAAACATTGTAAAAATGCCTTACCAGTTCGTTTAGCAGCTGACTCTCTGCATCTGAAGCTGCATCTCAGGTGGTTCCTGTAGTCTGCCATCTTATGTTTGTTCATACTCATGTACCAACTTTAGGCAGTCCTTTCCTAAACCCTTTGGTTCAGGTATGTGAATGACACCTGGGAGAAAATCAGGACGTGCCACAATTCAATAATCACATTAACTTAATAGACAAACACCAGAGAGGATATGAAAGGAGTTAGACTGTGAAAATTCCATCATTAATGGGAAACATTTGAAAGTGTACAGTAGACACTGACTTTTTTTTAAACCAGTGTATCCAGAACCTAGTAGCACTTTTCTACTCTACCTGAGTACTCAGAGCAGTTTATACAACTTGGCTCATTTACCCATTCATACAAGCACTTCTTCTATGCTGAAGTTCTTTCTATCTAGCATTCACACACATTTATACTCCAGTGCATGCAGACAGCAGAGGATAAGTTGGGGTTAGTATCTTGCCCAAGGATATTTGACTTGCAGATTGGAGCAGCCTGGAATCAAACCACCAATCTTCCGATTAGTAGATAATCAATATTTAAGATTTGACTCTTATCACTTATCCACTGGAGAACACACTACGTGTCATAAGGATGCCACAACAGATAGTGAACACCATCCAAACAGACACAGCTGCCAAGGAAGCAGAACAACAACATATCAAAAAGGCCCTGAGTAAATGTAGTTATCCAAGCTGGAGATTTGTCAAAGCTGGGAAGACACCTTAAGACAAAAAAACCCACAGAGAAATAGTGTATAGGTTTAAGTACCAGGAGGATTGTTGTGAATTATACATGGGGGAAAACAAATAAATTCCACCTAAGTGGACGGCACAACTGTCCTGAAGTTTATTTACACCTGGTTCTAGTTTCGGTCATTTTACAAATGCACTATTTATAAGGCAGGCGAAACCTGAACTCAGCTGAGACTGAAGAAGTCACTTGCACAGTTCTCCCACTGAAAGGGTTATGTTGAGATGAACAGAATACACTTCCTGGGATCTCACTGATAGGTTTATTTTGTTTTTTCAGTTTAATGATAGCTTGCCACACTTGCATCAAGTGAGAGTTCCAGTGAAAATGTATTTGTCACACACACACACACACACACACTCAC